AGCCACCAAGGCTAGCTCGGCCTTGGCAAGTCGAGCCGTGATACGAAATCTGCACAATATGCCAACGCTCCACCACGTGATGCAAACCTTGCACAACTTGGAAATCCACACGGACTCAAAGGCCAAGCGAACTTCCACCGCAGGCCAACAGCAGCCCAATAGCTGCCATGAATTCAACTGTCCATGTTGTTTGCTGACCCATTCCCTTCCACAACCGAAGACAACAAGAAGGAAATGTACAAGCACAAGCTTTTTTCTTATCCATGTTTCAAGTCAAGGCGCCCCCCGACGCAAGAAAAAGCGGCGGCAGGCGGCGCAGCCGGCCAATGCCACGGGCACGGACAGTGCACCTCGCAGAGGCTCCCCCAGGTCAGAGCTCTTAAAACTCTTCAAAGAAGTCCTCCTTAACATGATGCAACATGTGAGCAGCAGTAGAGGAGCGAGGCGCGAAACTTAGCAGGGGGACGCACAAGCCCAAAGTGCAAGCGAGCGCCAGTGCTGTTGAGCTACTACTGGGGGGGGCGGGCATTGACAAAGTACATAATGAGAGCCTCTCACCGCAGAAGCTCTCAAAACCCGTTCTGAATCCAAAACCCAAGATCCTTCCTCCCCAATCTTTCCCACCGTAAAGCACAAGCCACAAGCCCCCGTCCCCGAATCCCGAAGCGGCACGGTAGGTCGGCCCCTGCGCGGCTTGGACAAGAGCGCTGCCCAGGAGTTGGAACACCTGATGCCAAGGATTCTCAAGGCTCTTTTGGCTACTTGGGATCTCAGTGAAACGCTGATTGGAGCTGGTGGCGACGAAAACGCTGCAAGTTGTGACGTTGTAGGGTCCCGGAAACTTGCGGAAGCTTCAGGGGACAAGCTCAAAGGTTTGTGGCCGCGAGTGATAGAAGCCCTCGGCCTTCGCTGCGAAGCAGCCACCTCCGACCTCCGACACGCGAAGGGCAAGGCGGACTCCCAAAGCCTGACGGGGCAAAAGTGGATGTAAGCAGCTTTGGGGGCGGCACTTCGTCACAAGCCAGGCTTTGCCGGCTAAGTGAGACGTATGTGACTTAGTGGATGCATCCACTTCGAAGCACGCCTGCGCAGCCACCCGGGTCTCGAGCGCTGCAGCTGTGCCTCTGCACGGATCGGCATGGAACGGCACTGCCCTTCCTGAGGCCTTCTCCATAGATATCGTAGACACGGCACTCACTACACACCAGAAAGCGCATCCCGGACATGGTGATCCAGCCTGCAAAGCTTGCAAGGTGTGATAGAATCTGCTCCTGATTCGCCGCCTGCAAGGCACATGAAAACTGCTCTGGCTTCAATGCTGCGGTTCAGATAGCTTCGCATACCCCTGTCATGCACATAGCTGGTTGCTAGGAGTATATAAATGTATATGACACGCATGCTGATGTCAGAAGCCCTCCGCCTGGAGGAGCACCTCACTTGGGCTCAACTGCAGCACGCTTCGGAAGACCTGCAAATCTGATCTTGGGCTGCCCATCCGATGCTGAACCAACGCTTTGAGATCCGATAGCGCCTGGAAGGAATCGTCAACTCTGTCCATGACCTGGGTACAAATGGTGGGGCTTGTGGCTTAGACCTTCTCACCTGCAAGCTTCGGTTGGAGAAGATGAAGGTCTTGCGTTTAGGGGTCCTTCGCCGCTCTCCTTGCTCCTCCGGGTACAGCTGCCTACTGCTAAGCCGCAGACAACCCGCAAGATTTTCGGGATCACCTCATGCCGCCTCATGCCCAGAGCTCCACCGAGGGGCATGGCCAAAGGCTCGCTCAAACAACCGCTGCAGTGGGGGCGCATCTGCGGCCTGAGCTTACTCAGGTGAATTTTGAATCCTCTTCCTTGAATCCAGAGTGTCTCACCCTTCCAAAAGTGCACAGAAACAAGACGGAACAGCCCGGAACAACATCTGAAGTTCAAGCCCTGAGGCTGGACCAAGGTCGTCATCCAGGGAGTCGAGGCTAGAGCAGGTCACCTTCATCCCATAAATTGTAACCGCTGTTCTGAACCCGAGTCCCTTCAAGACAGTTTCCGTGGCGGTTCCGCAGGGCCGGGGGGGGGGCTGCACTTTCAAGCGCTGCATAGAACAAACAACATCTGGGGAAGGTTGCTAGGTGACTGATGTTGCAAGTGAGGCTGCCGTATGGCCATGTGCCTCACATCCAAGCCTCCAAGCCAGCGCTCAAAGCTTGCAGGGCGCGCTCCAGCTTGGGGCAGTCCAGGAGCTCCTGCAAGAAGAGCAGAGGGAAAGCCAATGAAAGCTCTGAGGCTTCGGGTTTTTTGCGGTGGGTTTTCGGGGGTTTTCGGGGCTTTAATTTTAAATGCGACAGTCATTTTTGCACCCCACCCACCCAAGTTGTAGAGTTCATAAAGGACATTTCAGGTGGACAACGCACAGGTGTTTATCGGCATCTCGCTTGAAACACGATAACTTCTTCGACCTGAGACTGGAAGAATTCAAAAGCAACCTTGCGCACCAGAAGCTAGAAAGACTCCACAGGTTGCGAGTCCTCGTTATCCCCCTTGGCAGTCCTCAAGTTTCGGACAACTGCATATAGCCAAACAGCTTTGACAGGCTTATTTAGGATTTGCGGAGAGAGAACCCAAAAATTCCAAAAGCTGGATGAAACTTGCATCGCACAAGCTCCTGCAAGAACGTTAGAGCATGCCTTGTGTTTTGCACCCCACCCCCCTCCCCTCGCATCTCCCATGGTGGAATGCCATTTTTCGAACGGGCCTTACGGCCCTAACGACACCCTCATCCGGGGCCCTGGCCCTGGCGCAGATCCCCTCTTCGCCTTGACAGGCTCCGGCAGCTCTTCTACTGGTGCCTGGACAGGGAAGAAGTTGGGCTTGGCGCAAACACGCCTTCTGTGAAGCGAGCTTTCACTTGATTCTTGCACCGCCGGCAATATCTTTCACTCGGTCTGCTGACCATGGCATGGAGCCTCAACGGTGGAGCCTCGCTTGAGCCCTTCTTCCACACTAGAGATCACTAGGGTTCGCAGATTCACCGCAGGCTTGCCTTGGATGCCAGCGCAAGGCAGATGAAGAGCAGCTGAGAGACTTGTGACTCCTGGTCCCGTGCTGTCGAAAAAGGCCGTCAGTGGCTCAAGAAACTGGTTTGGGGTTGAGAAGGGGTTGCGAAGGGGTTGAGAAGGGGTCAAGAAGGGATTGAGAAGCGGGTCGAGAAGGGGTTGAGACGGGGCTGAGACAGGTTGAGACGGATCTCCTCTCAACGTGCACCAACGAAGTAAATGTGTCGGGCATTGCTTGACCTGCGCTACGAGTAGCAGCTTTATTGCTTGGTAGAAGTGGTCATGGCGGCCAGGGCCTTAGGGCTTTAGAGCTGAAGTCCGAGGTGTTGGGATTTCGACCTCGCCGAGACGAACGCACAACATGACAAGCCCCTCCGTCAGGAAGGGCCGGAGGGGCTCCAAGAAGGCCAACAGGACCATCCACATGGCCTGGTTGCAACATGCCTGCCTTCTGTCTCCTTTTGCAATATTTGTGGAACTGTCATGTTCTCAAGTCCAGACATCATGTGAGCTCAGCGCGAGACCAGCATTGCAATGACAATTCTCCAAGAAGCGATGTACACTTGGGCGAGCGAAAAGAGAGAGTGGGCAGAGGAGATAGAAAGAGAGAAAAGCGAGGCGAGAGAAAAGGGAGTATGGGCAGAGGAGAAACGGAGAGTAGAGAGTAGAGGGACACAGAGCGAGGGAGAGAGGGAGAGAGAGCGGAAGAAAGCACAGAGATAGGCAGAGAACAAAGGAGAGAGGAAAGAGCATGATGCTGTTGCACAGACTGGCATGGGGCCTCGCGAGACTCTGGCGTCGGCGACAAAAGAAGGTCGGAACCATGGATCGCATCCTCGCTTTGCCCCCAGGGTGCTTACGAGTCATTGCTTGGGCCAGGTCTTGGTCGGGCAAGCTTGGTGTACTACAATGTTCCACCATAAGAAAGCTCCAGACTATCAGATCACCCTGAAACGCTGAACATCGCTGGACGCCCAACGACAACTCTTTCATAAACGCAGTCAGGTCGTCGATCAGCTCGGGCAGCACAGGCTCCAATTGGCCCAGACGCAGGGAGGGGTCCTAGCCGGAGCTTGGGGTTTTGGGACATGGGCATACTGGGCAAGCTTGACAGCATGCAAAAAAAGAATACAGCACACACGTTCTGCTGGCCATGTGGATTGGTTTTCATGTTCGTCGCAACTTCTTCAGGACTCTGTAAACTTGTGCAAAAGGCACAAAACTCCAGACTCCGGCCTGCCATCCACTCTAAGCCACTCGAAGCCTCAAAAACACCTTTGGTCTGCTTTTACGGCTTTCACCACCCGGAGTCCGGGGGCTGGATGCTCTCCAACACCTCGCGCTGACAGATGCTCACAAGACAGCGGCTAACTCTCGAAACTACGGAGGCTCTGCAGAAGCTGAAGGGAACCCGCATGAGAACCCTCATTGTGGGAAGCCACGTCCCGAATCCAGCTCTTCCTTCGTTTGGCCAGTCCCGTCCACTGGTCGTTTCTTGTGACACTTGCATGCATTTTCGGATGCGACGATGGGTGGGGCCTTCATGACATACGGCTGCAAACAGTTCGAAGACAAGAATCAGAGTTTTAAATTACCCTTTCAAACCTGAACTCCAAGCCAGTAAGAAGCCAACAAGACGCTCCCTCCCCCCCCGCTATCTGCTAGCACTGGTACGCCTCTTGCAAGCAGCACAGCAGGTCATCCAAATCACATGTCTAATGGAAAGTCCAGCCTTGGACTGAAAACTCTGGTGTTTGGAGGCTGGCAAAAGAAGCCTGGCCTCGATGTGCCCCTCAAGCGCCATGCCCAAGATCCGGACGCTGGCAATCCGCTGATCCAGATCCTCAGAGATACTCCGGCACAAAAACATAACAACGACATCCTCAAGCCGAGTAAGCATGATTCAGAAGAACGCCGGCGAAGACATGTAAAGTTGGGCATGGGCCTATTAGAATTATAGCTCTCGAAGCTGGTCTCGCCCATTGCCCACAAGAGCCCGCAAGTCGAGCCAAGCTGCCATGGCGGAGTCCGCATCCAGCGCGCCCCTTGGAGAGCGCCATATGGGGGGTTTCCGGAATTAGGGGTACCTTCTTGGGGTCCTGATTTGTCGGGAACCCCCGCTATTTGGGGATCGATATTGGGGGTCCCGAATTTTCGTAAACCCCCATAGGTGGGAAGCGCCATGTGGGTGCCCAGGGCTGACTGGATAAGCACATCCCGAGCGCTTCTCGGCAAGAACAGCTTGCCCTCCTATCCAGCAAAAACAGGCGGAGGAGAAAAGTTGGGCATGCAGAGTGAAGACTTGATGCCAAAAAAAGGCAACCCTCCTGCAAGCTCAGAGATCACCAGGTTTTTCTGACACACTTTTCTTCGAGTGGGCGCCCGCGCCTCAGCTGAGTCCAGAGGGATGCCGGCTCCAGAAAGGCGCCAAGCAGCTTGCACACGGTGCTGTAGGTCTGCATGGCCCTTGCGAAAGAGAAATGCATAAAAACAATATGAAGAAAACACCCCTAAAGCATGTTAGAGCACGAAGCCAGAAACTTTGGTGTGACTTTGTGCGCATCCGAACTGCTCAGACGCTCGCACCTGGGATCGCCCGCGGCCCAAGCTCGGCCAGAGTAGAACCTCTGTCGTGGACTAGCTGTAACTTCAAGCGGAACTGAATACTTTGGAAAAATTCATATCATTACAAACCGAAAAATAATGCTATTTGTATTTTACACACATTATGTGCTGGTCTTGGTGTTTTTCGCGCAGTGTGTAGCGTGGTGAGAATTCAGTGGCACGGAAGCTCTTTCAAAGTCTAAGTGTCAACACTGCTGGTGCCATTCACTGCAACTTGTGTTTTCGTGCGGAGGAAAACCTTTCTCAAAAGCTATAACACATCCACTCTTTCCTAGCACGCAAAGAGGCTGCCAGCAAACCGCACTCTGCCATCTGCCTTCCTAACAACCCTGCTTTTTGCAAAGATGGGCTCGCTCCTGGTTTCGCGATATACGTTTGCAAAATTGATGTTTTAGCCCCGGCCAGTCTGGAGATGAGCTGCTTGACCAGCGCCGCCATCATAGGCTGCAGCCACTCGGTGACCCCTGCGATGTGACAAGGGCTAACAAAAGAAATCGTGCCGACGGGGGTAGATTTGTTCATGCTGCTTGGATTTGGTTGTTCAGCTTGCCAGGCTGAGGAACGTATCATTGACCGCCCCTCCATGCATCCCCTCTCCGAGAGCCTTCCTCAGTGTACGCGAGGGACATGCACAGCAGGCGGCCGGCGTTCAATGAGGTGCAATCACCTGCTATCCCCACTTGGCATTACTGTGTCAAGCAACACGATCGTCGATCTTTTGCATGCTCCAGCAGGTACTGAACCATTAAGGACGGCTTCTGGTGGGCAGTTCCTGTTTGCAGAAGCTTTTTATGAACACGATGAGCCAAAAACAACTTATACAAACCTTTTATGTGCTATATACTGATTTGCTTTGCGTCAGGATGCTACGTTGGGCTACAAATTCATTGCCTCAGGCTGTCACCCAGAACCTTACAATCCTGTTGGCTCAGACCGAAATGGTTCGGAGCCAAGGCATACCACTGTGTATTGATGAGTTGCGGAAGTCGACAACGTCGTTGAAGGTGGCCTGGACACGCAGCCGATTGCAAGCGCTACATCTTCGGGCTTCGCTCGGAAAGCTATATGACATCTCATGACTCTCATATCCTTGCATTAAACATGTCGTTCTCGTGTTTGTCAGAACCAGAAGCACTACAAGGGAGTCAGTCGCCTTGATAAAGCGCCGGCTGTGCGTCCGCACCTAAGCGTTTCTCTGGACATCAAACCGTACAACAAGCTAGGCGGCTCAGCGGCTTCAAGAAGCACTGTCCGTTCCAAACATGCTCTTACGCTCCCCGCTCACTGTTCCTCTTGCAGCGTAGCAAAAACATTGCAAAACCATGCGTGCTTGAGCGTAGCAGTTTGCTCAACTCCTCTGGATGACAAAACAGCTGACTCACGACAGCTTCTGCACCACACTCTGTCGAAAGTAAAGCTGCAAAGAGCCGGCTCCAACTGCAACTTGCGGCCAGCCAGGGGAGTCAAGTGTGCCCATGGCCACCAAGTCACCCACTGGACCCACGTGGACGTGCTCAGCAAGTGTAAGTGGATGGACAACAGGGGTGACAACGAACATCGGTGGATTCCAAGGCACGGCGCTGAGGCGACAAGCTTCAGTGGAACATGTGGTTGTTGTGCAATACTTCCATGCCCAGTCCGAAGTGCCACCGGGGGCGTTGTGGAGGGGACATTGGTCCGTGCATGCCTGAATTGCCTGCGCAATGGGCCCGGGCGTTTGCAAGCTTCGCGGAGAAAAACGATAACCAAACTAGACTTTTGACTTGGTCAACATTGTACAAAGACTAGGTCCTCACCTGAGCTTCGGGCCCAAGATCGGGAGCCCAGGCGTGGCCGTGGCAAACGGCGATACACGGCCAGATCCCGGAATTCCTTACGGTGGCCGTGGGCTTTGCTGCTTTGGTGGTCCAAGGATCCAAGGTTCAGGATCTGGGAAGCATCGGGCGGATTCAAGGTGCACGGTGGGGCTACATCAGCGACCATGTAGCAATCCTGCCTCGGCCCCCATCGTTCACCCAAAGCCACCGTTCCAGCCTCTCACATCGAACCGATTTCATTTCTTGCCTGCTCCCTCTGTCGGCCTGAGTCGCATCCAACAAACTTCCGCAATATCGAAACCCCTTGCTGCTGTGTATCTTGCCAGCAGCTGTCACCTCGACTTGCAGCAGGTCGAATCGGATCTAGAACCAACTTTCTCCCAGTCGCTATCAGCAAGCGCCCTCTTTCTCACAGCAGCTTAGTGGAAAATTCTGAAGTACTTCAGCCTGAGGTTGTCTGCCCCGATAAGATGTCCCTCTATCGAGGGTGAAGAACGTCGCACAAAGCCCTGCCCAGAATCAACACAGCGACTCTCGGATGTCGCCAAGGTACGGCTGGGGAGCTCTGTTGGAGCACCCAAGGCTGCAGTGTCAGCGCTATCCTCCAAGGAGCAACGTTCGGCCGTGTCAGCTTTATCTGCTTGGAAGACACGTGACATGTGCATAGTGGGATAAAGGTGCTTCGATCATGACCCCCATGCCAAGCAAGCCGAACTAAGCTTCTCAAAGTCTGCTGGTACGTGGGCTCACATCCAAAGCCAGGTGGCTTGGTCTTGGTCGTTATCTTCGTCAGCCTCGCCGGCTAGTTTCTCCTGCTAGCAGAATGGAAACAGGCCCAATAGGTCAATGGGTGATTTGGGCTTGGTGCTGAGTGCTTGTGCCTTGCTTGAGAGCCAGGAAATAAGCGAAGCTCATTTTTCTCCCTTTCCAGAAGTGGGACTTCGTTCTGGGCACCATGGTGCATCTCTTTGCTCAGCTCCACGTCACCTGGACTCACCAGTTCCCATTGGCACTGGGTTTGCATTCACAAGAGCAGGTCTCGTCCTGTCGTTTGCACTCTTCAGACTGGTGGTCTGCTGCCCCAAGTGCAAGCCACGAAGAATCACTCTGCAGTTATGGGTTTTCAGGTTTTTTACATTCTCGTACAAGTAGAGGGGGTGGTCAACAAGTAGGGTTCCTGCTGCTGCGACAACCTGTGTATCCGATGGAGCTGGAAATGTACAGCTCGCGTGCCTTTTGACAGCTTGGAAGCACCTGAAGCAAAGCCCAAGCGCAAACTCGGACGAAACCTTCCTCACCCCACGAATTTGCCTACAAGCACGCCGATCCTTCACAACACGATCAACACTGAATCCTGCAAACGCCCAGAAAGACATGAAGATCCCGTGCTCCCGGTGCTGGTGCGCAAGCAGTGGGCGATGGCCCAGGAAGTCCGGACCCTGCGCTCCAGCCCGCCTGCGAGGGTGACGGCAGGTGGATTGAGGCCTCGGGCTTCGGGCACATGTCGAAGGACTGTTGGGCTCGGATGAGTCGGTTCCAGACGCCGGGGTCACTTCAAGGGTTGCGAGCTTTAGCACAGAGTCGCATGAAGTCGATTCTTGAGCACAGCTGGTTTTGGCACAATCCTGCACGTCTCTTGACACCGCACCAGACTCGCCTGATGTGCCGCGGCACAAACGTGCCTCCACCCCAAACGCCCTGTGCCAGGGTTGGGACTGTGCTTGCACAAGATGGAGGAGGGATGCTCACACCGCTGAAGATGCTTCAGTGTCACGACAAGCCCGAGTTTCCAAACCCAGCCTGGAGCGGAAAAGGCACAAACGCGCGGCCGCCGTAGGTCCACGAGAAGTCGAAACCTCCACCATAGGCACATGATTCACAGACAAGGTCAAGCCCGTACTTGAGTTTAGAGTTTCCACAGGGCAGAACCCTTATATATACATACAGATATTTATATATATATATATGTATAATATATATATATATGCTACCCCCCCCTCCCGGGACCTACCTTTTCGAGTGTTGTTGGTTAATTTTTCTGAAGTTCTAATCCATCAAGTTGAATTACAAACGAAGTTCGGATGAGAATGTCTCAGGGTGTGGCCTTAGAACTTAAAATTCCAAATAAATTTCTATGCGAATAGGGGGACAGAGGAGGATGTGATACCGTGTGGTCTTTAATATACGGTTAACTAAGTTAACTAGATGTATTTCCCATACCAAGGATGTCTTGGGCTGTGGCCAGTTAATGTACTTGTTAAAATTCGGTTTACTCACAAACAGAGCCCAGACGATAATTTCCTAGTGCGTGGCCTTCTTTTCTCAGCTCATTTTTTCAATAACTTACGAAGCAAGCCCAGATGAGGGGGTTTCAGGCTGTGACCTCTGAATATAGGATCTAATGACATCTTGTTTTGTCAGGCCCCGTAAGAGGATTGCAGAAGGTGTGCAATTTAAATTTAAACATCGAAGCCAACCCGCATGCGAACGAGGCCCAGAGGAGGATTGGACAGGGTAGTCTTAGAATTTGTTTTTTTCTATTAATATTACGAACGAGGCCAGAAGACTTCTCAGAGGAAGTTCACTTAAGGTGTAGGCTGTTATTAGCAATTTGGTTTAAATATGAATTTGAAGCCCAACAGGTTCTTATCAGACGTTAAGCTGAACGACTTCCAAATGACAACGTTTTAGGGTATGACCCTTTAATGTGAAATTCAAATAGTACGGACTTGATACCCGGTTGCTTTGGACTGTGGGAAACATTAAGGGTGGTGAGCGGGATAGGATAATTGCTCACAGTATTCTCACGTCCCCCACACTTACTGTAAATGACTTTTCGCATCACCCTATGCACTCGAATACTTCCTAGTCTTTTGATTCTAGACTTGCCATCTTTCCTTCTCCATCATCTGTATTTGATTTACAAGACATATACCCCGTGTACATACATGATCTGAGTACGTATACTGTGTTCTCTCTGCATTTCCACAGGAGGCAAGCCCTACGAACATAGGCATAACCCTATGTGATTTAAGGTTTAGGGGTTTATGCCCCAAGCCCTGGAGGTTCGTAAGGTTCTGATTCTACAGGCAATGCTTGAACCTTAAACCCTAGACTTTTTACCCTGTAGGATGTACCCCCTAGAGGGCTAACCCCGTGAGGGTTTTAGAGATACACCCTGAAAAGCCTTAAACCTTTAGCCCAGCCCTATAGGGCTAAATGGTTCAAACAACCTAAGGCCTGGGCAAATATACCATCAGCGCCTATAGGCTTAACACCGTTGAACCTTTTCGCGTCCTACAAGGTTTTCGGGCTCTGAACCTAAAGAGTTTAGGGTCAACGTGTAAATGCCTAAGCCTTAAACACGTGGGTTTAAACTCTACCTCTAAACCTTAACCCCCTTAACCCCAGGGCTTTAAGGCCAAGGGTGTAGGTTTACTTGCCGGCTTAGTTTTACATGCCTAAACCTTAAACCTTAAACCTTTAGATCTTCACTATGGGGTTTAAAGGGTTACGATTAAGGATTAAGTCTAATTGCTTAACCTTCAAACCCTATGTATGATTAAAAGGTTTAGGGTTTAAGGTTTGAGCCTAAACCCTATAGGCTTTAAGGCTAAGGGGTTAAATCCTATAGGGATTAGGGCAATTATCAGCCTTGAACAAGCCCTTAACAAACGACCAGAGAGCGCAGCGGAGCGGAGCGGACAGGAGAGGGAGGGAGGGGGAGTTTTGCTGTCTTGGTTGAAAGATTGAAGGTTACGACCTGAGTGCAGGTATCGAGTTGCTATACAATTGAAATGTTGAGGATTATGGCGCCCAGAGCCTCTCTCCTTAGACGAATTGCCCCCCAGGGGATACTTTAAAGTACATTAAAGTGGCCCTGGATCCAAGATCCAAGATCCAAGATGCCAAAAAAAACTTTTCGGGGAATCTTGGATCTTGGATCTTGGATCCAGGGCCGCTTTAAAGTACTTTAAAGTGGCCCCCGGGGGCCCCGGGAGACAAAGTACAGGGACACCGTTTGTACTTAGACGATTTGGGCCCCCAGAGGGCACTTTAAAGTACTTTAAAGTGCCCCCCGGGGGCCCCGAGAGACAAAGTACAGGGGCACCATTTAGACGATTTGGGCCCCCAGGGGCCACTTTAAAGTACTTTAAAGTGGTCCTGGATCCAAGATCCAAGATCCAAGATTCTAAAAAAACTTTTTGGGGAATCTTGGATCTTGGATCTTGGATCCAGGGCCACTTTAATGTACTTTAAAGTATCCCCTGGGGCCCCGGGAGACAAAGTACAGGGGCACCCTTTGTACTTAGACGATTTGGGCCCCCAGAGGGCACTTTAAAGTACTTTAAAGTGCCCCCCGGGGGCCCCGAGAGACAAAGTACAGGGGCACCATTTAGACGATTTGGGCCCCCAGGGGCCACTTTAAAGTACTTTAAAGTGGTCCTGGATCCAAGATCCAAGATCCAAGATTCTAAAAAAACTTTTTGGGGAATCTTGGATCTTGGATCTTGGATCCAGGGCCACTTTAAAGTACTTTAAAGTGGCCCCCGGGGGCCCGGGAGACAAAGTACAGGGGCACCCTTTGTACTTAGAAAATTTCGGATCCAAGGGGCATTTGAAATTGCCCCCTCCAGGAGCCTCATTAATATTTTATTTTATTTTTTTATCTCTCCCAAACCCCACGAGACCAACCTGAGCAATACAAGCTTTAAAAAAGGTAGGTCCCGGGAGGGGGGGGTACCATATATATATATATCAGTCTTGCCTGTTACTATGCAGTCAAAAATGTGGGACGTGGCCGTGTACACAGAAACCTGGGAGGAGGACTTGCATTGTATGCTTGGCCAAGACCCCTCGGGAAAAGGGGAATGCATCCCGTGGTTGTGCCTTTGGTTGTGTGACAATTGAAACAGGCTTTACAGACTTCACACCTCACGATGGCAATTGGACCGTAAACCGCAGATGCTTTGCATCACCATAGCTTCATTCTGCGGCAAGTCGCCGTATTGCTTCGTCTTCCGCAAGTCCTGTCGAATCAGAAGAACAGCCTAACAGGTCAGAAGTAACGGCCTCCAACATGTGCACCTAAAACCTACACAGGTCCCTGAGCAGCCTGAGATAGCCTGAGCATTTCTCGACATGTTCGGGGTCGAAGCTACGCTGCCTTCCCTGAAGTCCTCTTCGTGCTCTGCTTCGTAAGCCTCACCGATGCGCTCGATAAGCCAGAAGACCTCTAAGGCGATCTCCTGCAGCTAATGAGCAGGCATCTGTGGGCGATGAGGGCTTGCTGGAGGCTGGCTGGACCTTGCAGGGCCTGGCGGGGCCTAGCCAGCTGTAGCAAGCTGTATTTCCCTGCAAAGAAGTGTTCTGAAAAAGTCACTGGTTCGAAGTCGCACGAAATGGGCTTGGAACGTTTTGACTCGGAAGAGGTGCGAAGAGTCGCTCCTCGTTCTCATCACACAGGCCCGTCAGCAAGTAGGGCGCAATGTAAGGTTCGAGGTCCACCTCTCAGGGAGACAAGGCACGACAAGGCAACCGTAAGGCCACCTGCCCACGAAGAAAAGCAGATCAGAAGGGCTTTTGAGGTCTCATGCTGAAAGCTCTCTATGAGATGGGCAGATTGCTCATGAGATGCTCATGAGGTGTGGTGTGGGGGGGGAAGAGGTCCCAGCCGCACTGCCTTGTCCACACACCGCAGCATCCAGTAAGCGAGCGTTTCGAACCAAAACCGGCGCACGGCTGGGTGGCGATCGAAGCTCAGCGTGGACATGTAGTTGACCTCAGGTTCGAACGGCTAGATTGAGTTCGCGAAAATGCAAGCTTCATTTGAGCCTGAATCTTCCAGAGAGGCAGCAACCCTAGCGAGAGAGCGTCCTGACTACGCCTGACTGCGCGAGCTGCCGCTTTCAAACAGGATGCATTGGTCACGCCCTCGTAGAAGGCCTTGATTGGAACCTGTCCGAATTAAAAACTCCAACTGAGCTCACTACTAGCTTCATTTTGCTGGATGAAAAGACAGAAAGCCAAGCTTGACTGCAAAAGCTGCAGTAGGCTCCTAGACTGTTTCCTCGGCTATTTAACAAGGAAATCGCAGCAAGGTGCATTCCTTGTGCTGGGGTCAGATGGAGCTGCCTTGTTGGGGTCCTGCCAGGCCATGAGCACCTCAAAGATCTCGAAGTTGTGCTTCCAGACCTGAACCAAATAGCTGCGGGCAACTAGGGCGGCTTCAAAACTCGTTCCTCCGCCATCCGCAAAACCATGCTCGCCGGACTCTAGGCCCCAGACTCCGCAAAAGAGGCAGGCGGTTATGGCACGCAAGCCAGCGATGCGCAGCTTGGCATGGTTGTGGGTGAGGCAGGACCTTGCTTCAACACTGTGATTCCGGAATCATCCAGCTGCTGCCAACAAACTGCCGGAAAACAGTTCCTGAAACAACCCCCTGAAGTCACACAGAAACCTCGGATCTGAAGAATTTTCGGGTTCGAAGGTTCCCCTGGTCCCAGGCTGGCCACGTCAGCGAGCGTGCCAGCGGCAAAGCAAAGTGCAGCAACATCTCCCTGTTGTTGTAACCTGCAGGTTCCGAGCCGCGTGTCAGGGAGAAAATAGAATGCTGCGATGTGCTCTGGTTCTACGGTTCAAAAGCTTGCCAAACTCCCCCCCTGCAATTTATGATTTATGCCACAGAAACACAAGCCTAGCCCTTGCTGGATGCCGAGCCGCAGAAGGTGACCATGGTCTCACAGGCCAGGGCCTTGCGGCACCCCGGCATGGGATTTCCAGGATTGAGACATCTTGTGAAATAGGCCATCTTAAGGCCAGGTTTCCTGCCCTGGAAGCTTCGATCCCTAGGATATCTTGTCGAGTAGGCTGTTGGCTTGGTTTCCAAACATAGCATTGGGCGATCGTAACACTAGAGAGCCCCCCACGTGAAGCACATCTGCACACGTGCACATTCAGAGAAAAGAGAAGCGACGTTTTGAGAACCCTCGGCAAGGCCTTCACCCCATGGAAAGGATCCATTGCTTGCGCACGGATGAGGCCAGTTGCCTCACAGACTGTGGGGGGCGAGCACTACCCTTCAGCAAAGATCGCCGAGCACAGCCAATTGTCTGAATGGCAAACGAGCCCACCCTGGAATCTCGCATGTGCTGGTTACAGGCAACGGCTCTGTCTGACAAGGCTTCCCGCTGCTGTGCCTGAAGCTTTGTCCCGAAGTTATGTTCCAACATGAAAGGAAGGGTTTCATGGTCGATGACATGATATGCAACGTTTATGCAGACGCACTTTCGGACAATGCTCAAGCCTCGTCAATGTAGGAGTAGATCTGGATCGGGCTACACCTTATGTCAGCCATCCTATCCTATTCCCCATGTACCCCACGTCTGCATCTTGGACATGCAGGTTTGACATCAAAGCACCTTGCCATGCACTGTGTCGACTCACAATTTAGAACTGTATGTCATTTAGGATTAGGCTAATTACTATACAACCAATCTGATAGGTCGACTTGTGCAATTGTAAAAACACAAAACATTGCATTGTGCTAACTATCTGTTTCTGAGTATAGACTGTGTGATGCTGCAAAAAGCCCTTAAAGCCCTTCCTCCTTAGTATAACCACAGTCCCGAATATTTCTCTTAAAAAATGCCAGATCGCAAGCCCTTGCCCTAAGGCCTTGGAGCAAGTTGTCTTCCAACAAATTCAATTCGCAAGCCCTGGTCCCTAAGGTCTGGAAGTACGCTCTTTCCAAGTCATAAAACCCGCAAGGCATGCTCCTTCAGATATTCGACGTAACACACTCAAAACTTACCCTAAGAATTCTGGCGTACGCTTCTTCAAGATTGTAGAATCGCAAGCCCTGGTCCCCAAGATTCTTGGTGCAAAGCATCCTTCAAGAATGTCAAGTCGCAAGTGCTGGTCCCTCAGATTCTCGGAGTAAGATGTCTTTTAAGATATCAAATCGCACCATCAGTTTTCTCAAAATTGTATTGGGGGAGTGGCGCAGCCGCGAGGGTTTGTATGCCTTCCTCCGCAAGTCTTTTCAGGGGTTTCTGGGGCGGATACGGGGGGGGGATACCCGGGAGGTGGGGGGGGCTGTGGGGGCGCAGCCCACCCCATTGGCAAACACAATGCGCGCACGATGGGTTTGCAAAGGATTCGTATATGTCTCGGCTTGCAAGTAAATCAAAAAGAGAAGGGGTTGCGGGGGAAGGGGGCTCCGCCCTCTACCCCCCAAACACAGGCTTGCACGACGGGTTTGGAAAGGAACTGTATATGTTTAAGCTTGCAAATACAGAAGGGACCAGGACCCGGGGACCACCGGATCATGGGATCAGGGGACCAGAACATCAGGAAAAAAAGGCCCAAACCAGCTTAACGGGATCTTTAAGAAAATGTCTTGCAAGCGCCATGGCGTCTCTAGTCTCAACACAAGACCCATGCCATGAGATGATAGGGAACCAAGGTCCAGGCCTTTGCAGGAGCGAGGCGATGAAGTGACCAAGCTCCACCCGGACCTCCTCACTGTCCTGATATGGAGCATTAGGGACCTCACGCAAAATGATAGTGACTGATGATGGGATGTGCTGGCACCATCATTGCGTCGTGACATGTACATTTGCTGGTCCTCCACAGGCCGTGCGATCTCGGTCGGCTTCTGCTCCGGATCGGGACGCATGATCTGCGCGGCCGGGCTTCCGTGGGTTGAAAACGCCCAAGAAAAAGGATTGCTCTCTCAGGGCTCTTCCCTCTCTCTCTACTACCTGCCTACCCTTGTAACCACCTAAAATATTACACATGGTCCCTAATCATTGCGGCCCTGGGCGCAAAGAGTTTTTCGACAGCCCGGTTTGCTCAGCACGGCAACCTCTTGGCGATTCCTTAAAAGGCCACCTTCGAGAAATGTGCCGAAAGAACACCATGGGCACACGAAGATTCATAGGATGTGCAACTCAAGGCTCTTGGATGGCTGTGGTGGGGTAGGGCTACGCAAACACTCAGGTGTAATTGAGATTTGAACGAACCGCCTTGCGAATGCTCCGGTTGCTACGTGGATCAGGGTTCTTTGCCGTCTTTTGGACTTTCGGCCTCTGTCCATTGAGCTAAGTACCACGGGCGCAAGTCAAGCGAACTACGGATCTTGCCGAAGATGGCTACCTCTCCCTGTTTGGCAAGTCAGTTCACGCAGCCCACCGAGTCTACTGGAAAATGGAAAAACTCCGGCGCTGTGGTGCACATCTCTCAACTCCACAACTCCAGCCTCTGGAAGGTGCGCAACACCATCCAAGTCCTGGCAGCGGAAAAAGATGCCAAGCAACACTCGCCCCCACATCTCAGTTGTGTCTTGCACCGGATTGACCTCACCCCGTCCATGCCTCTGTTGAGTTCATGTAAGGGTTGAGGGTTGAAGGGTACGTGGCTCAGGTTGGGTCTCTAGGGTTGAAGGCTGGCCTCTTTTAGGGCTTCATGTTCGGGGTTCGGGTTTGGGGTTTGGGGATGTCCGGCCTTAAAAGGCTCAGGCTTTGGTGCTGAATTTCGAAGCCTTGACACTCATTTTGGGGTTCACTTTTGTTCAAGCTTGGTAAGCAGCTGAGGTTAGGCAACTGCTTTTTTTGGGCTGAAGGTTGTCGGGTTCACGCTTTGCTGGGTTTGTCCCGACACCCTTTAGAGATAGAAAGGGTTCGGGATGCCAGACCCTTGATTCAAACCCCGACATACCCATCAGCACAGCACAGCTCTTGACTTGACAACCCCTTCGCTCCTCGCAGCCTAGGCGGGACACCAACGTCGGAAAAATGTATGGCCTCAGCAACACCAAATATCAAATTGTGAACCACCCACATAAAGCACGTATGCGAGCCTTTGTCGAGAAACATGCGTCCCTGCAGCCAAATCGACTTCCTGGTCCTCTTACCCTGGCTAAAGAACAAACCAAATATGCTTGTGCGTATTTGTGCGCATGCTTCTGTGTAGTTTCTTGGGCCCCATCAGCGCGGCCGCGAGGTCCGAGGTGTTCTCCACCAGACTGCGGAGAATCTTCACGGCCAGCTCGCGGCACTTTTCACTCTTGTCCTGCGGGTTTCACAAGGACATGCCACAGCGAGTCATGCGAGTCCCGTTCCCTAGCACCTTGACGTTGAGCACCTCAAGAAATCAACGAGCAATTCGAGGGTCCTTCAAGCGCTTCAGCAACGGCTTTAGCATCGCATCGAAGACCGCGTCTACTACGTCTGTGGCCAAGCTGTCCTTCACATCACGTTCATTTAAAAAATTAACGGCGTCTACCAATGCGATATGCCAGATGAGATATTGTTGGGGGTATCGGATGGGCTGATGGATCCTCATGTGAAGCATCGCATATACATGTCCATAAAGAAATTGGACACAGTCGAGCTTTGAAATTGAAAGCTTTGTGGAACCTGACCGTCCCAGCGTGCGCAGAATTGAAAACCAAGGCACGATCTGGGCAACGAGGATGCGCTCCAGCCTTAAAGCCACAATAGGTTTGGGTGGACAAAAGTCGCAATGTCCACTTTGAGGATTTGAGCTTCAAACTCTGTAAAGTTTGCAGGGAATGGTGGTCCAAAGAAAAGTTTATCTGCTTATTCTTGTCCACAGCCCCCGAAGCCCACATAAGCCCAGCCCCCCGAGGAAACCTCCAATTCCTGTTAGACCCTGTACTTTGGCTGCCAGGAACAACGAACCAACAAGCTCTCGATTCCCCTAAAGACAAGGTTGAGACTGACCGAAAAGGCGCGAAGGCCTTGAACCTCCCAACCGCCTTCAGCAGCTTCAGCCGTGATGCTTCTGAAGGGATTGCAAGCGAACGCTCATCGCCTCCTCGGCCAGGCCTGGGGGGGCGTTCACTAAAGTGCCCTGGAGCTTAGGCAACTGCCTGCCTTATCTCCAAGGAACACGGCTCTTTGCACATGAAAGACATGAGGGCCGTAAAAGCCATGAAAGCCGCGAAAGCCATGGAAGCCATGGAAGCTATGCAAACCCATTGAAGGCCTCAGAAACAGATGAACAGAGCGTGCATGGGCCACATCGACCACTGCAACAATTCGTAAGTTGGTAAGCCCCAAAAGTCACAACAGTATGGTGCTGATGGGAATGGATGGCCCAGGACTGTTGGGCTTGGGCTTCGAGATTTTGGGCACAAGCAAACAACCGTGCTCGTGCCATGGTACTAGCCTTGACCTAAGCTCCGAAAGCTTTTGGCGCATGGGCATCTTTGACTTGCGAGGATGCCCAATGCGAAGAAAGCCCACGCTGCGAAGCGAGTGGGATGACGCCCTGAACACGAAGGGTCACAGAGTCCAAAGCAACTTCTGAAACACAGCCCAAAACACGATCCAATCCAGAGTAACTGCTAGGAAGTCTTACCGTTTCCAACTCCAGATCCGGCCAGCAGCAATTAATGTCTCGCTGGAGGTAGGCCAGGAAAGTCTCTGGCGTACCTGTCAGGGTACAGTTCTGATCTGTCATATACGTTTCTGCCTTGATCGCGGAATAATTTCAGCACATACAATCGTCTTCCATTAGGCCCGGGCCCAGTGAGACAACCAATTTACCAAAACCTCACTGATCAACTCCAGTAAAGAGGATCCGCACTGGGTTCTGTCCGACTCACCCGACTGATGTTCAGGCAAGGGAGAAAGGAAACAAGCAAACCTGAACACGCCACCTCAACAAACCATCAGCCTGTGGGCACATCCTCCCACGCGTCCAACATAGTCGTTGGCGGCGCAGCAACGGCAAGGTCCTTCAACTCAGGTCGCGGCGAAGCTAGGAACTCTTGGCTGAGCAGTGTGAGCAGCAGTAAGGTTTTGATAAGCCGCACCAACCTCGCACAGGAGTGTACAATCATATTTCCCATGAAACTGCGAGGTCTGGAGAGTGGTACGGGTGCTGATGGTCACAAGAATGTGGCTTACGTAGTGACAAAAAAACAAAATAAGGTTTGGAATTTTCGGATGTTGGACGTGGCATGTTACGTTACCGGACCTTGAATGCTACATCCCGCACCTGTCAAGACCCTAGAGACCCTAGAGACCCTGGACCCAACCAAACCTGCGACCCACTCATCTAGACCCATCTGGACTCATCTGGACCCAGCTGGACCCATCTGGACCCATGACCCAATCGCCTCGACGATATCCGCCATGGCGGATACGCCAAAGTCCCAGTTCTGGAAGTTCGAGATTCTCACTCATGCTTGGGAGTTTGGCTTTGGGATCTGGGGACTCGCATTGGTAGGTTGCCGGGGTCGTTTCGGGAAAACCCTGGCACCTTCTCTAGCAATGGGGTTCTGTGATCCTGCAGTAAGGGTCTGTGGCATTCGATTGTTGCATCAAGGCGATCATCAAGGTCTTTTACAATGGGGTGAAGCAGTCTATGCGTACTGTCATTGTCGGTACTCGTGACGCTGCTGGCAACACTGGTAAAGACAAGCACTAGAAGATTCAGGGCACGTCACGAGGAGTAGACGCGGGCAGTGTGCAACAATGCAGGTGTCTGTGGCCCTTCAAGCCTGCTTCTGCCCCACGACGAGGTTGGTAGACCACTCCCGCAAATTCAGAGTTGAATCCAGCCGCTTGCTTGCGGTCTTCCTCAAGTTCGAACTCAAATAATGAAGCCAAAGCCCGGGCGCAACAACTCATGAAGGTGAGGTCAAACAACTAGGCCTGCGAGTTCTGCGGTGGGCCTTTAGAGATGGAAACTGTAGACACTGTGATGTGGCAGCCACGCAGCTTTTGTTTGGGCTTCTCCCGCTGCAGGAGGCTCAAATCTTGCACGGCCTGGCCACGATGCGCTGCTAGAATGGAACCTTAATGCGCACAGTACACACACAGAGACAAACACAAAACACAAAACACAAAACACAAAACACAAAACACGAAACACAAAACACAAAACACAAACACAACCACAACCACGGCCACAACCACAACCACAGCCACAACCACAACCACAGCCACAACCACAGCCACAACATAAACAACAGACTCACACTCACTCAGTTTCACACTCACGCACTCACACATCGGAGACACACACACACACATGCGCGCCTTGTGCAACAAGCATCTCAAAGTATGCTGTACGTCTTGCCGCACGCACACACACACACACACAGACACAGAAACGGGGACCATCCACTTGCGACCTACACATGCAACTACACTTCGCTGACCCGGAGCGTCACCATGGTAAGGACCAGTCAAAAACAGGTGACTTTTGTCGTATTACCAATTCATGCCGCTGAGACGTTTCGCTCATGTTGGTTCAAGCGGCTTAAACAACTTAAAGGCTCTCAGCACTCGCGTCCGCTGGGGTTAAATTCAAGCTTTCGGATGTGAACCTCCAAAAGGCAACAACTGAAAAGCAAACGTGGATGTTCACATCATCCAACACAGACCAGGAAACCCAATTGAATCCCCACACACACCAATCCCAGTAAAGCCCAAATGCCCCGCACTGAAACTCCCGTGGTCAAACCTTGACGGCGGCCCGCTTTTCGCTGATCTTTGGTTGCTCGCGCTGCATCTCCCGCCATATCCTGGGCTTCTGAAATTTTGTTCAGTCAGCTAGCTTGAAGGTTTCCACCAATGCAAGTGCCACTCATGGAATGGCCGCATTGTTGGTTATGCTTGTGGTCAGGCTGCTCCGAATTGTCCAGGTTCATAGGCTGGGAGGTCTGAATATGCAGTGATGCAAAAAAAGAGGCAGCAAAATTCAAGTTCTGATGCAATGCCGGGGATTGCAGTTTCAAGTTGGGGCGGGTTGGGTGCCTGAAGCGCTATTCCGACTGCCTTATATTTCAACAACAAAAACCACAATGTGTGATCACTGCCCGAATCGAAACCGCGTAGGCTTCTGTGCCAGCGCAGGCAACACGAATGCGTAGTGATTCCAATGCGAAAGAGCACTATTCCATGAAACGCCCAGCCGCTCATCCACATCCGCCATTCGAAGCTGGCCGGAAACGTGAATCTAAATTTAGGTCTTCCTCTAGGTCTTGTCAAAAACTTTTGCTTGTGATGATGAGTCATGAGTCTTTCAGAGGGGCTTGGGGGTTTGCAAGGTTATGTTTGCAAGGCACGGAACCTCGAATCGGCGGCGATGATCCCAAAACAGGCTTCTGAAAACCGATGAGAGGGGGGGAGGGGACGTGGAGGAGGACCAAACCCAACAGATGAAATCCCAAGCAACCCGAATCCTCAGCCCCCTAAACCCGCAACGCTGTCTGGCTACTTGCAGCTCTGACGTGTTTTCAAGATAAGTGGGAGGAGCTGGGGTGGGGAGTTCCATCCTGCTGCCCCCATCTGACAGGTGTTCCAACTATACCGGTTTTGAAGGTAAGGCGTAATGTTTTTTTAGATAAATGGGGGGGTCTTGGCGGGGGTGGGGGGGGCTCGGCCCTCCATTTGCAAATGCTGTGCTTGCACGTACGACGGTTTTTCGAGAGAAGTCCGTATGACGAGGGAACAAACAAGCTTTCTGCGCATTTTTGGAGGGGTTCACAGAGTCGAGGCTTTCGGCTTTTGTGTTTGGCTGATGTTTTGCACCTTGTGATCACGGATTGCCAGATTTGGAATTTGCGGCTGTGCAAATGCCAGTGTTTTAAATTTTGCCGGGGTTTGGGCTTAGTGGAGGGCGTCTTGTTGTCTAGAAATCGGTTTGGGAATTGAAAAGGGTCCGGGGCCGTTAGGGCCGTTAGAGCCGTTAGGGCCGTCAGGGCCGTTGGAGCCGTTGGGGCCGTCAGGGCCGTTGGCAAGGAATGTTGGGCGGCACAAACGCGACACTCGAAACCCTCAACACATCTGGCAGAATTTGCAAGCTTGAGTCCACAGCCCTGGACCATGGATTCCCCATCTAAAGGGTCGATAGACCACCTCCCTAATGGGATAGGAGCGTGTGCATTGGGGGGAGGGAGCTGAAGGCGAAGGGGAGCGGCGTTGGCATAGACTTCCACGCGTCCGGATGCCTAAAACCCAAAAAACCCAACCCCCTAAACCCGAGAAACCCGAAAAAGCCCTAAACCCCAAACTCTAAAACCTGGAAGCCCAAAGAAACCCCCCTGAACCGAAAACCAGTCAACTTTAAACCCTAAAAAACCCGAAACCCCAATCCCGAAACCCAAACACGTGTATGTGAATGTGGAGGAATTACACACACTCCAATTTTCGCATCATAAAGTTGAGCTGCAAAGCATTCTCTAAATCCCCTGAACTCTAAACCCCAAAAAACTATACCCTAAAGACCACTAAAACCCCTTAACTCTGAAACAACCCCGCGGCTCTGAACCCACAAAACACTAAAAAACCTAAATCCTACACCCTGAAAAACCCCTAAAGGCCCTAAACCCAAAAAGGCCTCTAAACCCTAAACTCTAAAAACGCCCAAACCCTAAACCCCAAAGTTCCTTCCAAACCGAAAACCAGAGTCTAAACCAAAAATCCCTGCCCTAACATCCCCTAAACTCTCAACCAAAAAACCTAAACCCTACAAACCACCAAAGACCCTTAAAACCCAAGAAAAACCCGGAGCCCTACACCTCGTAGAACCCCCAAACCCTAAACCCTGAAAACTCCCCAAACTCTAAATCCAAAAGACCTCGAAACCGTAACCAAAAAGACCTTAAAATCCTGAACCCTAAAAGCCCCTAAACTCTCACCCTAAAGACACTAAACCCTAAAATTGTAAAAACCTCCGAGCCCTAAACCAAAAAAACACTAAACTAAAACCCCTGAACGCTAAACTCCAAAAGACCTAAACCCGAAAAAACTACTACAAACCCCGAAAAATTCGAAGTTCTAAACTTTCCAACGAACCTCCAAACCCTAAACCCTGAAAACCCTAAACCCCGAAACCCAAAAAGACTTCTAAACCCTGAACCCAAAAAACCTTAAACCCTATGCGGAGGTTGCCTTTCACAGGTTTGGCAGGGTGAAAGACCCATATTGTGGAAGATGTGGCTGATCATTGATGTTTTTGTCATGTTTTGGATCAGCTTGAAAAGGTTTGTTTTGCTTCGGATGTGTGATCCCATCCTCGATGGTTTATGCCTTGTTGATTTCCAAGGAAATCATACGAGTGTGTTTTTGCCCAATACGCTATTTAAATTGAGTGTGCAGTGTGTAGGAACTTCGTTCTGAAGCTGAGTTTAAGCTCACAAGAGAGAATTCGTTTAGTTGGTGCACTTCGTGACTTTTGGCTCAAGTGGCTCTGACTGTGACTGTGAGGAGGCGGATCCGGACTTATCAGGCTTGGAAGCAGTTGGTTCAGCGGCTGTTGAGGCACTTTGGAGCCCGGGCAAGGTGGAACTGGATTGGTTGTGACCGATCTTGGAGGTGCTTGGTAGAGTAGAACTGAGGTTCTTCAGGAGCCTGGACCATCTGGTGTTGGTGAGAGAATTTTCGCTAGAAGACGTTGTGGAGAGACTGCAGGCTGGAGCCTGAGTTCAGGAACTATGTTGAATACACCCCCAGGACATACCAGTGGAGCTCATGTGAGGAGTCCAAGAGGTGGACGAGAGTGGAAGCTCTGTGCCCATCATGGATGCTGAGACAAGGCGAAGGGCAGACCCTTTTCCGGGTTTGGGAAATCCCAACCCACTGTGGGTGCAAGGTTTGGCACAAGGAAGCCAACCTGTGTATGGCCCAGTGCCCAGAGGTCGAACTCCCGCCAGAAGCCCTCATGGGGTAGCTACTGGAGCACCCCAACAGACAATGGGAGGCCCTTCGTTTCCCCCTGGTTTGCCTCAGCAAGCGGTAGGAAGTCCTTCGTTACCACCAGGACTATCCACTGGACCTCCTCAACCTGTGGTGACACCATCACAAACATCACCCGACGTGCAAGGGTTGACGAGACAAGTGCGAGAATTGGAAAGCATGATGCAGCAACTGGTTGTGCAGCAACAGCAGTTTATGCAAACGATGACTTCGTCCATGGTGCAGCAACAGCAGCAGCATCAGCAGTGGATGATACAGCAGCATCAGCAACAGCAGCCACAGCAACAGCAACAGGTGAATCCCCCCTTACCTCAGGATGGTGTTCCTGAGAACATGCCCAGTTCTTCTTCGGGATGTCAAGGTGCATCGCCAGTGGGTACTCCTGCGAAGGGGACCCAGCTTTTTCGGATGGCGAGCCCAAGTCCCCCACTGAGACCTCCACCTCTGGAGCAAGAAAGGGAAAGGGATGTGTTTGCTCGATCGGACAAATGGTTGCCCAGTTTGCCGACCATTGACTTTTCGTCTTGGAAGGATCGCATCTCTGAAGCTCTTGGATTCTTGACCTGGATGGAGAAGCTGACCAGTTGGGTTGGTTTGGGTTCAGAAGTGTTTCCCAATGAGCTCATGCATGCGGTGAAGACTCAAGAAGAGTCTCGGCTGAAACAGGATCGACTTACTGTGGAGCAACAGAAGAGGTCGACGAGGCTGATGCACATCCTGCGACAGACTTTTGCAAATCATGAGAAGAGTTCTCTGATTTTGCAGACATATGTTGAAAGTGAGAGCACTTATCAACAATCTGGTTTTGTGGCTTTGAGATTGCTGGCGAAGGAGTTTTGCCTGAAGTCGCGAGCTGAATGCCTGTTCTTTCGGTCGCAGCTGGTGAATCAAACCGTGAAAGCACCCAGTATTCCGGAGATCATTCGAAAGATTGAGCATGAGTTGAACAAGTACACCAAGCTGCTCAATAGTCTTGATCCCGATGTGCATGCTGGTGGTTTGCAGATCCAAGAAGCGGATTCGGTTATGGTTTTGCTGCGCAGTTTGCCAGATCGGTGTAGAAGCCATTGCTTGTTGCATGGCGATAGTGAATCGTTTGAAGATCTGAAAAGAGTTGCTCTGAAGTTTGAGGTGCAACAAAGGGTGTGGTCAGAAGCCCCTGGCACGAAGCTTCAACCTTTTCGAGATCCCAATGAGGGAAAGGGCAACGAAGGAAAACCAAAAGGCAAAGGAAAGGAACAGAAAGGCAAGCGCGAATCAAGCAAAGGTGCTGGCAAACGAGCTTCAAGCCAGAACAAGAAGGATGTGGAGTGCTATGTGTGTGGTGGAAAGGGACATTATGCCCGCGATTGCTGGTATAAGGAGGGAGATTCAGGCAAGAAGCCCAATTCCCCCAATGCTAAGGCGAAAGCCAAGGCAAAAGGAGATCCCAAGAAGAAGCCCGAAAAGGGAAAGCCCAAAGGAAAAGGCAAAGGAAAGGGGAAGACAGTTGCTGAAGTCTCCCAAGAGGGTGAGTCGAGTGACTACCAGCTAACTGGAGGTGAATGGAATGAACCTGAGTCAGAGGCCCGAGTGGAATCTGTGTTGCAACCTCTGGAAGAATTGCTCGATGAAGTGAGAAAAGAGTGGATTCCCCGGAGTACTGATGAGATAGATTGGTCATGGGAAGTTGAGACGAGAGTCCGGATTGCCGAGTTGGAGCATCGGATCTCTACCGATTTATCTCAGATGTTGCCATCTAAGTCAGTTCGGTCTTTGATGAAACCTCCGATGAATCAAGTCAAAAGCATGGAAAAGGATGATGCAAGCAAATGGTGGTTGATTGACTCAGGAGCATCGGTGACTGTGATTGCGAAAAGATACTTGGATGAGTTCCAGATCTTGGATCGGAAGGCGTTGGGACCTAATGAGAGGTACTCAGCAGCCAACGATACCCCGGTGAATGTCTTCGAGCGAGTTCGCATCCGAGCCTTGCTGCCTATGTATGAAGGAAAGCAGTATCTTGGTTTGACATCGGTGTGTGTGACTGGAGTTGTAGCAGATGTGGCTCACAACATCTTGAGCACCGAGCAGATGGTGAATACTGGTTGGGAAGTGAAGTTCACTCGAAGAGAGATTTCGCTGCGACACGAGAAGAAAGGAGTCATGGGATATGGAGTATCCTGGGCTGGATGTCCTTGGATCTACCTGCAAGGTGATGCTGGAAAGCGAAAGAAAGTAACCTTTGGAAGAACT